AATCCCAGGATTTCCCTGCAGGCCACCCAAATGGATGATGACAGACAGAGAGGCAGGCAGAGAGATGACAGGTAGGAAGGTAGACAGACAGATAGACTGATGATAGACTGATGAGAGAGTCAGACAATAGTGACAAAGAAAACTGATAAGTGAGCACTTACTACATGCCCACAGCACGCTGAGGACTCTGCAAGTAGGAACTCATGTAATCTTCGTAGCCATCCAGTGAGGCACCATCATGAGCCCGCTCTATAGTTGGCAACTGAAGTATAAATAGTAATCATCTTATTTAGGGTTACGGAGGTAAGTAGTCTATGAACTAAAAATAGAAACGATTAAGAGGCATTTATCTCAAGTCATAGAAAAAAAAATTCCTCGAGGAAACACAAGATGCTCAGCGTCCATACCCTGGGAGGAGTACCAACCAGAGACCAGAGACCAGACGCGAGGCTGTTTTCTGCATCTCGGCCGGCAAAGAGCAAGGCGTCTGCTAATGCCCAGGGCGCCCGGGGTGCGGGCCCAGACGCTCTCCCACATTTTCTGAACAAAACAAAAAGTACGACTTCTCTGGCAACATCCATCGCCACTCAAGTCCTGACGCGAGGAATTCGCACAGCGCACTCATCACATATTTGCTCAACTGTGTGGGAACAGACATCCCCTGCAGCCTCTGTTTTTGCAAACTGCCGGTCAGTATTCCACGGTATGCGTATTCCACATTTCGTTTAGCAACTCCTCAACTGATGGGCACCTGGGCTGCTTCTACCTTTTGGCAATTATTGGGAATCAGTCTGCTTGGAACACTTGCGTATAAGGTTTGGTGTGAACCTATGTTTTCATTTCTTGCATCTATAAAAAGTAGAATTGGTAGGTCACACAGTAACCATGTGTAACCTTTGCGGAATTGCCAGACTGTTTTCCACAGAGGCGAGTGTTGTTTTAAAAGCTGCCAAATTTGGGGGAAATTTGTTGCACAGCCATAGATGACTAAGATAAGAGAATTAAACAAAGTGAGGTATAAAAGGCACTTAGGACAATATCTAGTAAGTGCTCTATCAGTGTCAGCTATGATCATCATGGTAGTATCTCTCTGCCACAGGGCCTTTGCTCATGCTGCTTCCACTGCTTCGAACGCTCTTTCCCTCCCTCCCTACCCCACTAACTCTTACATGTCCTTCGGACTTCTGCTTAAATGCTGCTTTTCCAGAGAAGCCTCCTCGGAAATGCCAAGTCAGAAATCCCCTTTACACAATCTCTTAGCACCCTGCACTTCTCCTATGAATATCAAACAGAGTCATGGTTAAATAGAAATTTGTGTAACTATTTTTCAGACAGTTCCCTCTTCTGACAAAGAAAAGAATCTCAAGCTGGCACAACGCCCTACCCTCTGTACACACAACAGAAATGCAATTCTACCTCCTAAAGGCCAACAACCCACTAGAAAAATGAGCAAAGACAAAAACAGGCTGTTGGCAGAAAATGAAACACAACAGAATAGAGGCACAGGCGCCTTCATCATGCAAAAGTAGGAAACAAGATGAAATACCATTTCTCGTGACTATCTGACTAACCAAGAGGAAAAGGATCGATAATACCCAGATTTGGAAAGAAATTGCCAGAAACTGCTATTGCCTCGCGGCGGGGGCTCGGCACTTACCCGGGCAGGCTCCCTGGGGGCCGTGTGGTGACGTATGTGCACCAAATCCTAAATGCACATCCACCCCTCTGTCAGCTTACAGACGCCAGAAGTGACCCAAGAGATACACGCGCAAGCATGTCCCTTAGCGCAGCGATCGCCAACCTTTTGGACCTCAGGGAGCACCAGTGGTCCACGGACCACCGTTGGCGACCGCCGCCTTAGAGCACTGCCAACAAGCAAACAGCAGACGCTAAAAGCATCCTTCAAGCGGGGACTGCCGGAAACAGTGGCCGCTTCTTGGACCCTGCACGGCCAAGTACAACCAGTTGCCTTTACGGCTGCCACCTTCACAGCAACTGTGCCTGCAGGGGCTGCTCCGTATGCGCCCCAATGAGGCCCTGGGCAGGTCCTCGCAATTACAACTGAAACCCAGGCTCCAGCCTCCTCCTTTAGTGTCTCCTTTACGTCACAGTGAGGCATTGCACTGGCTCTTGTGCAAGTATGTGCTTAGCGGGGCTAGGTATCTATTAATTTCAGATTAATAAAGAAGAGGTTACAAAACGTCAGCCTCCATAACCAGGTGAGCCGATTCCTTATAATAAAAGTGTGTGTGCCCTAACCGGTTTGGCTCAGCGGATAGAGCGTCGGCCCGCGGACTCAAGGGTCCCAGGTTCAATTCCAGTCAAGGGCATGTACCTTGCTTGCGGGCACATCCCCCGTGGGGAGTGGGCAGGAGGCAACTGATCGATGTTTCTAACTCTCTATCCCTCTCCCTTCCTCTCTGTAAAAAAATCAATAAAATGTATTTTTTTAAAAAGTGTGTGTGTGCATGCATGCATGCATGTGTGTGTGTGTGTGTTGTTGGTTCTGTTTCTCTGGGCAACCCTAATAAAGGATTTATGAAATCTGATTCATTCCAGGTCTAATTGCCGCTATAAAGTTTCAGTTCATGACCGTTTCAGCTTGGCGTGCCCACTTGCCAGTGTTCACACGAGAGAGCAGGGTTCAGAGAAGACCGACAGGTTTCTGACTCCGAGTTCCTCACGGGGCCATGAGTCCGAGTCACCAGTGAACCGTGTGGCCAGGGGCCCATCCAGACCCACCTGGGAGGCCTGATCCCAGCAGAGGCGCCCCTGCACCCTCCTCAGTGAATCCCCGGGAAGCCCCGCAGCAGAACTCGGTTGTGTGGGAGGAACAGGGGGCTAAATAAAGGCCCAGGCCCGTGCCTGGCCCCTTGCCCAGCAACGGCCTCTGGACCCTGATCTGGTCACATCGAGAAGAGACAGAGCCCTTGACACGGCGTGTGTGTTTCCAGGGTGACCCTCAAGGCTGTATTTGCAAATCAAATGAATGTCAATCCATTATGAAACCTGGCGTCTTAAGGAACACCATCGGGAATGCTACCAGTATGTGTGGCTGGGGTCCATGTTCTGAAGCCCTGCAGAGCACTCCTGATTCATTCTTTAATAAGATTACTCTTCAATGTTCTTATTAGAATGTATTAGTTGTCAGCTTCCCAAAGTGGTTTGAGGGGAGCAAAGATTAACACCAACACATTAGATACATTCAAGACTTGTTGCAAATCCAGAACAAAAACCAATTAGGAGGAAGATAATGCAACAAACACCTGGAAATGTAGCCCCTCCCCTTACCCCCCCACCGCCCGCATCAAATGTCAAGGATCTCACTAATACATTTTCACCAAATGTTCCATTTTATGTCAAAAAACCCAGTGTGGCAAAGTCCCACTCGCTTACCTCATGAAGAGGAACTGAGGGGAGGCAAAAAGCTGGTAGGTGCCAAAATCAGTTAGAACACGTTTAAGAGACGTGTTTTGCGTTTTTGCTAAAGATTATGAGCTCTAGAAACCCACATAATAGGGCCCCACTCCAGCATCACCACTGCAGAAAGGAATCAGCTGTTAAGCAGGGGTCATTCCATGGAGAGAAGAAGCCAAAACACACTTCTAAGTTACATCTGTAACATTTCTAAGTTACAAATGTAGAATGAAGTTCTTCCGCCCGAAACTCTAATTCATATCTTCTCCCTCCGTGAAAAAAGGGACATTTCAGCGGTCCACTCTTTCCTGTTTCAATTTAGTCAAGTAAGTAGCAATTAGATGGTAAATTTCCAATGGAAAACACATTAAGAATTTTGTTCTAGACAGGAACTGATGAGCAAGACCTTAAATTTAACTCTTAGAAGAAGTCCATGATATTTTATCTGCGCATGTTGGCAGACAACAAATCCTTGAGTTTGACAGCTTAACGTACGAGAGACAGGGAACAAATCCTAAACAGTGGCTCCGTGAACAAGAGGACGCCCAGGCACTCGGAGCCATTCTCCTCGGGTCACAGCTGGTCATTCACACCTGTGCCCACCTCCAGGGCTCCGGGACCCCGACCAGTTCTCCGTGGCCCCCAGAAAAAGCTGGCCTTGAACAGACGCTGGCTGAACAGAATCACAGAAAACACCCGAAGCCATGCACACGCACACGCACACACACACGCACACATGCACACACACACACATTCACAACATCTCCATAGCTTCTTTCATGCAAGGTCTCGTAGGTCTTGACACCGAAAACTACTCCACGGGGACAAGAAGAGTTCACCCCTCCTAGGGATTCACTGCTCTGCGGCCCAGACAGCCTGGGGGGACGGCATCTAGACAGGACAGAAGCCAGGTGGCTCGGCAGCAGACTCTGATCAGCTCCGAGGAGGCGAGGAGGAACGTCAGCCCCCCCACCACCGGGAGACGAGCCAGAGCAGAACTGCTTAGCAAGCTCTCCATCACCGGGGGTGGGTCAGAGGGCCAGGGCCAAGCACATGGAGTTGTTTTTTGTTGTGTTTTTTTAAAGGTGAGGGTGGAAAATAGGGAAGGAGGGAGGCATAGTCTAATGCTATTCTTCACCTTTTGGAAACTTCCTTGGTGCCCCAGACACCAACCAGGGCTCTAAGAAACCAGGATAAAGACACAGGATTTAGGAACATCGCGGGGACCTCGGAGACCCCGTTCAGCCGTTGCAAAGACTGTCAAGCGAACGCAGTGGGAGTCCGGCAGGCCTGGTCCCAATTCAGACCTGGTGCCCTGGCCCCGCATCCCTTGCCTCCCGAGCCTGGATGAGAGGAGGAGGGTGAGCAGCCACTGAGGTCCCTCTGCTCTGCACGTCCATGATTCAACCTGGCCATTTCCCCGTCACATGTTCGAGGACAACCTGGCCAGCACACAGCAGGAGAGAGACGATGGCCCCTGTGGTCCTTTCTCCTTTCCGGCCACATCCCAGCGAAAACAGCGGCCCCACAGGCAAACACACACACACACACACACACACACACACACACACACACACACTTACCACCAGAGTCTGTCCGCACGGGCTCGCCCTGGCACAGGCCTGGCCGAGGCTGGGCCCCCACGGGCTGCCTGTCCGGAAACACCAAGGCCATGTGCAGAAAGACGCTCCACAGGCGATGCCGAGAGGGAAGGGGTTCTTCTCCGCGGGAGCCCAGCCGGGCAGCCTCGGCACCGCCACTCCCACGCTTCCTCAGCGCTTTTCCCAGCCTGCCTGTCGGGGCAAATCCTGAGCCCGGGACCTGCCCCGGACGCACAATGGGTTACGTAACTCCCGGCGGCCCGGGCACCTTATCGGCTCATCTTGTAAAACCGCCCCACACAGAAGATGACGCACCCGAAAATGTGATATCCCCGGGTAGGGGTTAAAGGGGTGATGGGCCCTGGGCTTTGCCGAAAAATCAAAGAGGAACAAAAAGTCTCCTGTCCAGCTCAGCGCTCCCTGGGAACAGGGGGCGGAGTGTACTTAGCGGAGGCCAGATGCCAAGTGGTCTCCCCGGCCCGGCCGTGGCCAAGCCCTCGGCTTCCACCCGTGCATCCTCGGGGCCACTCCCTCCCGTGGCTCCCGGAACGTCTTTCGTTTCGTGTCCTTCTCTCAACGAGCATCTACTGAGACTTGAACCCGAGCGTGATCTGCAGGGTCTGGCTGCCGGCGCCTCCAACAGGTAACACTGCCCGTGTCTGCCCTCCTGTTTACCGAGCCGCCGCCAAACGTGAGAGCAGAGCTGGCCACAGGTGTCCCGGCGAGGCACACCCGTCCCCACGCCCTGCACGGTTTGAGGTTTCAGCTCTGCGTTCGGCCATGTCTTCGCCCTCGCTTGTCACGTTCAGAGAAAGCGAACCTGCCCAATAGGCTGGGCGTTTCCTGGATTTCACTGGCACAGACGCCGCACGAATCCCAGGGATTCGTTCACATGTTTGGGCAAACGAAGATGCAGCTGGGACACCGCCTCCTCCAGGAAGCCCTCCTGGTCTTCCCCTAACTTTTCCCCTCTGAGGGTGGGCCAGGCACCCTCCTTGGTGTCTTCCAGTGTGCCTGTGCCCATCACTGTACTAACCACAGTGCACACCCAGTTTCCACTCCAACTGGACTAAACTCCTGGACGACAGAGGACACGTGCCCCAGGGTTCTGACCTGGATGCGTGTCCCACCCCCTCAGAGCTCAGGGATCTTGGGCAGGACGCTGAACCTTTCATGATTTAGTCTTTACCTATAAAAAGGGGACAACGCCCCCCACCCCAACCCCTTCACGGGGATGCAGTAATAATTAAATGACAATTTATCTACCCAACAAATGTCTCCTGAGCACTGGCCACATGCAGGCACTGTTGCAGCAGCACACTGGTCCTTGCCCTGAGGTTAGTTCAGGGGTGGGCAAACTTTTTGACTCGAGGGCCACAATGGGTTTTTAAACTGGACCGGAGGGCCGGAACAAAAGCATGGATGGAGTGTTTGTGTGAACTAATATAAATTCAAAGTAAACATCATTACATAAAAGGGTACGGTCTTTTTTTTTTTTTAGTTTTATTCATTTCAAACAGGCCGGATCCGGGGCCGTAGTTTGCCCACGGCTGGGTTAGTTTATATTCTATTTACATTCCTCGAGTGCAGCTCACGGCTAAGTCTGGGGAGAAAGACAAAGTGGAAAGGGAGGTGGGAAGAGGTCGGGGGACCACTTTTTCCGAAGGGTGCTCACATTTCTAGTGAAATGCCGTTCGGAGAAAGTGAAGAGGGAATCACGGGGACATGGGGCGGGGGGTAGGGCGACCCAGATGCCGGGCAGCTGCCAGAACAGGGGCCCTGAGGAGGGAGGCTCCTGTGGGTCCGAGGACTAGCTGGGAGGCCAATGCGCCCGGAGTGGGGCGGGCGCAGAGGAGCCAGGTCACAGGGCCGGGGGCACCTGTCACTGAGACCCTGGCAGGCCACAGTCAGAATGAGGCAGACCTGCATGTGTGAAACTGTCATTGGGCTTTATTTCAAACAGGAGGGTGACAGCAAACCCTGCAGACAACACTGAGGAGCAAAGCAAACTGCAATGCACATGCGACTGGGTTTAACTTAACTACACTCCTGGCTGCCACTCCACACACCGGCCTACACCACGGCCACCGGAGTCCTCTGGCGTGGGCTCCAAGCACCTCCCTGGGAGCGCTGGCATGAGGTGCCGACCAGCGACGCTGCCTGCACGGGGAGGGGTTACCCTGTTCCCGGGACACTGGAAGGCACTGACAGGCACCCGGAAGAACCGATGTGGGCAAATCTGGCCGGTGTACACAGCACCCTGCGTGCAGTCCCCATTCCTGCATCCGACAGCGCCACCGTGTCTCCTTCCCATGACACCCACCGTGTGTCTGAGACACCGAGCCTCGGAGAGAGGGCCACACTGCACCGAGCATCACTGTGGACAAGTCTTTGAAGGGCTGTCTCCATCTCAAACAGGCCGGTTCCCGATGGCCCGTCTCACCATCCAGAAGCTCAGAGTCTAGTGGTTATCTCCCCACCCCCACTCTCCTCTCCCAGTCCCGTGGCCGCCCCCTTCCCAGTCCTCCTCCCTCCCTCCCTGCCTCCTGGCAGGAAAAGGGCCCTACCTGTGATGGTGCAGGCATCCCGGTACCCTCTGTAGCTGGGAGCATCTTCCGCAGCCTCGCTCACATAGTGCTCCTCGGGGAGGCCCGGGCTGCAGGCTAGGACTGCATGCTGGCACGCCTCCGGAGAGGGCACAGGGTTGGCCAAAGTGTCGGCGTGCAGAGCTGTGGCGTCCAGCTTGGCAGGTTTCACGGGGAGGTGCCCACTGCCATCGGGGGTCCCGCTGCCGGAGACTGGCGCCGTCGGGCGGACGGCCCCCGGTGGGTCCGGCACACCAGCGGGGCTTCCTCACGGGGCGTCTACGGACAGTGCAGAGAGGAGCACAGTTACTCAGAGTCTGAAACAATGAGCAAAACCCTCAGGAAATAAGGGCCCCGAGATGATGTGCATTCAGGCTGCAAATTCTGACAACTGCGTCCTGTGAGCTGGGGTCCTGTCAACCAAATGCCTCGTTTCGGAAACAGGACTGCAGCGAAGTTCCATCCGAGTGACCAGGTGTCGATGCAGCGCCTGGTCTCATTCGCTACCTGTCTTGAAACCCGCCTGGAAGTGGCGCTGAGCAAATAAACACACGACCACAGCTCACAGGATGACACCTCCCCCGGAAGGAAGATGCCCGGGACCCCTGGCAGCCACGCCGAGCGCAGGAAGGGCTGAGCGTGCCCGGTCTGTGGAAGACACGCATCGATCTACCGCGACAGGATGCACAAACGTGTTATTCAAGGACTGACTTATGTGTAACGCCACCTCGATACCTGCTCCACGCTCCAGGAACTTTAAGGATGCCCCCACCTTAAGCGACGGCGAGAAACTGGGGGACTCCCTTAAGAATATGATGACAACTCCGGACCTTATTCTGCATGACTTGTGGGTTTTAATTCTCACACGACTCTCTTCTGTCAAAGTAGCATTTTTGTTTTATTATGATTTTTGAAACATAACATTAAAAAGTGCCGTCTAAGCATCATTAAGGGTACGGCTCGGTGGTGTTAAGTACACTCACACTGTTGTGCAACCAAGCTCCAGAAGGCGTTGCATCTTGCAGAACTGAAACTCGGTCCCCTCTCAACAACTCCCCCTCCTCCCCTCCGCCAGCTCCAGGCAACCAACCAGCTGACTTTCTTTTTACTTTAATCCTCACTCAAGGATATTTTTCCATTGATTTTTAGAGAGAGTGGAAGGGAGGAAGAGGGAGAGGGGAGGGGGGAGAGAGAGAGAGAGAAACATTGATGGGAAAGAGACACATCGACTGCTTGCCTCCTGGACACACCCCGACCAGGGCCAGGAATGAGCCTGCAACCGAGGTACGTGCCCTTGACCGGAATCGAACCTGGGACCCTTCAGTCTGTGGGCCGACACTCTAGCCACTAAACCAAAACGGCGAGGGCCAGCCTACTTCCTATCTCTATGAATCCACCACTCTCAGCGCCTCACTTGAATGGAATCGTATGGCATCTGTCCTTCTCTGACTGGCTTACTTCACGTGGCAGAAGGTCCTCAGGGTTCCTTCACCTGGTAGCACGCGTCAGAACGCCACTCCTTTTTACGGCTGAGTAATAGTCCACTGTCCTGAGAAGCCCCCCTTGAAGTGAAAGGCCCAGCCCTCAGCCCCTCCAAATCAAGAAACAACCTAAATGTCCATCGACAGCCATAGTTACAAAGTACGGCATACCCCAACGACAGGATTCTGCAAAATGAGAGAATCCACGGAAGGCACTCACCTCCGTGCCAGGTACATATTAACTCCGCAGAACAACCACTGCCATCGACGTGGGCATGTCCAGATTCTCAGAGTCTGGCCCCTCTCTTGGTTCCAACGTAATATCCCTATGCCAGCATTTCCCCGCCTCCTTCGCCGGCAAACCTTGCTCCGCAGACACCTAGCCAGTGGCGTTTATTTCCCGGGGTGCACCTTGGAAGAGCCCCTCGGTATCTGACACCCCCCCCCCACACACACACACGCCTCCTTCAGCACCTGTGCGCACTCAGCTCTCACAGGTGGTGTATGAGCTCCTGGAAGCATGGGCTGGCCCTGGCACCTGGCAGGCGCCGAGTGAATCTGCAGAATAAGCATCGTGAAGGCAACAAGGGGTTTGGTGCGAAGACGATGAGGCTCTCCCTGAGGCTAGAGAGCCGTCCAGTGCTTTGGGAGCTGTAACTGCTGCCACCTCCCCCTCTCAGCTGGGTACTGTTACAGCTGAGGACAAGAATGCTCAGAGAGGGTTAGTAACTTTCTGAAGGTCACACAGCCAGCAAAAGGGGGAATCCAGGCCTGGATTGAGCCAAGTGATGACACCCCAATGCGAAAAGGAATCTGGGCACCTGGCCGCCTGCCGTGCTTCCTGCCTCCCTCACTCTCATCCACGCAGGCATTTCCGAGGCTCCACGCGGGGCTCGGGAACAAAGCAGCCGCGCTTGGCCCGGTGCGCTCTGGCGCCAACAAACCCTGGCGCTCCAAGCCCATGCTCCTTCCAGGCATGACACAAAGGAGGCTCCAGCAAAGTGAGGGTGGCCGGCTGGAGCAATGAAAGCACCTCTGTTCCACAAGCTGAATTCTGCCGGGGAGCCCGCAGGCAGGAGGGCTGTTTCCTAGCAGAGGAGTGAGAAATTCTGCAACCTGGTCCATG